ATCGGTACTATACAGCATTCTCTATTGCAAGGTATCTCGCATGTAGCTAAGAAAGACCGTATGAGCACAAACAAGTTTAGCTGCCTCCATTCACCGACCTCAAAAGCCACATCAACGCCTCTCGCGCTAAATTTCATCCCAAAAGCTGCCGCGTATCTCACAATGGAATTCTGAGATGACGGCGTATGATAACTCGAACACCCAGCTTGTGTTACCATTTGCCGGCATGGGCAATCCGACTTGCCACCAGCAGGCCAACATAATTTGCTTTCATTTCTCTATGAAATACACAAGCTCCTTGTTTGTACATTTACTTTGGCCAATGCACGGGGCCTCCTGAGACTTGCGGTGTGCCCCGATGAACCCCGCGGCTGTGGGGCAGATTGCTGAGGCCGCTGGCGCTTCGGGGATAAACATCACAGACAGCACCGAAATTCACCCAGCTTTCGTTACCATTTGCCCGCACGGGCATTCCGACTTGCGGTCTGCCGCACTGTCCATGCGGCATGCACCCGGAATGGATGCGATTCGCGTGGAGCCCGCAGGCGGTGCTGACGATTCCGCCGGTGCAAGCTTAGCTCTCACACCATCAGCACTGCTGCAACAAAGCATATCTCCCACCGCGTTGACACTACCCATCAATTGTCACCCTTGCCACCCTTGCTACCGGCCTGTACGGATGCAGAGGGGCCCCGCCCTTTTTCCGGCTTCCTTGAAGCCGACACCCAACTTGTCCTGTGCCTGCCCCTATTCATCTCCCTCCACGTCACCATCGCAGCGCAACCCAACACATACACACACACACACTCATGCATCTCCCCCCCCTTCCCCCCGGGGAGCCGCACACACACCGGTAGTTCTCTGCAAACATCCAGAGCGGTGTTCGTTGCGGGTCAACCGCCTCCCCAACCGCCCTTCGGTAGCTCGCGATTGCCCGCAGCGCCCCCTCGACAGTGGCAGCCACAGGCTTCTCCTGGACCACAGCCTTGCCGGCGGCTAGGCAGCGCTCCACCACCTGCACCAGCACCACCACCACCACCAGCACCACCACCGGCACCGCTATCACCGCTATCACCACCCCATGAGAGAGGTGGGGAAAAAGGAAGGTGCGGGGCGAGTTGAGGTCCGCCTTGTCGTCGGCAAGGTGTCGCCGTTGGATGTGTATGGAAGGAAAGTGAGAAGGGGGCCGCACCCCTCACGCGGCAAGAGGGATGCGTTTGAGGCGCACATGCGGGGGAGTCGCGGTCTGTGTTCAACGTCTTCAATTGTTCATCTACAATTGTTCTATTATCTGTGCCGATACGTGCGCGTATATGCATCTCTGTCTGTCTCTGTCTGTGTGTTTTTAATGATCTGAGCCGTGGTGAGGGAGACGGGGATGGTGTGGTACAGAGGAATAACTTATTAACAAAGCGATGGGTGTGTGAATGTGTGGATGTATGTATGTGTAATTCAGGGTCGATGAGCTGGAGTGTGTGAGGCCGTGTGTTCTGAGTATGCGTTTCGGCGGTGTATGCGGGCAATCCCACCTGACCGACCCACGTAGCCGCACCTGAAGGCACACTTGCACGGGCAACACCACCACGACAAGATGAATGGAATCGTCGTCGAGTATGTGCTGCAGGCCCTCCTCCCCGGCCATCACCTTGCTCTTGGGGAAGTACCTGCCAGCAGCAGCAGCAGCAGCAGCAGCAGCAGCAGCAGCAGCAGCAGCAGCAGCAGCAGTCACAGAGGTTGATGGAATAATGGGGTGGATATGACGTGGAAGGGGTGGAGATGGCGGCTGGGGCAGGTTTGCTTTCTGACGAAGGAGGGCTTCGGCTCGAAAGCGTACGGAAACTTACTCGTGGACGTAAGCTTGCGCTGACTCGATTGTGCGAGACCATACTGCCTTGAGCTCAAGCTCACCCTCTTTGGATCTACGTGGCCGCCATGGAGCAAAGTCTTTGGGACATTTTGCTTGCTGACATGCAACAGTACTGTAAGACGCAGGTGAAAATGAAACCAGATCAGAAACAATGGCTTGTCTTACTTGAAGTTATTCTTATAGATGTCCTTGGCAAAAATGCCTGTGCCGAGTAGCGCTGCACCGAGAGGCGCCATTCCCGCAATTTACAGCTGCCCGTGAGTGAGCGCAATCCTTAAGATGGTTTTCAGGTCGTTAAGTTATTACAATCCGTTAATCCCTACAATAACCGAATTTCCACGCGCAGCGTAAGAGTGTATGTATATCTCCCGTACAACCGGACTCTACTGCATAAAAAACACCTTTGCTCTTATCCTTCTTTGCCAGATCGACGCGGTTCATGAGTCTCCGGGTTCATCTGACTTGATAGCGCACATAGATAAAAGAAAATTAGTTGAAGTCGTTTGTTCGTTGTCTGCGTGGCACTCAACCAGAGGTCGGCAAATCGGTTTCTGCGGCGGCGGGAAGGCATAATTTCGGTTAAAAAACCTAAAAACGTTTTTTGGGAGCCATCCTTTCTTTGTAAAGTTAAACACAGAGTTCGAGTCCAGCGCGCGGCCCTAGGGGCCGCAATAGAGGCTGCAAATCACATCTTTTGGTCAAATTTTGGTCATAAGCGACCCGCAGCCGGGGCCTGAAGCCGAATTTCGGCTGCGGGTACTGTGGTACGGACCCGCAGGACCCACCTGATTTGCAGGAGGGTAGGATCCGGGCTGGAATTAGGGAAGAGCTCTGTCGCAGAATTAGCCTGGATTTTATTCCTGACAAAAGAATTGGTCCGTCGGGGTCTTGAATTGTTCTGGCGGGCTCGCCGGAGGTAATCGAATTGCGCTGTGGACCCTCGGAATTGGGCTGTGCTGGGCCTGAATTGGCCTGTCCGTGTGTCGAGTTGCCCTGTCCGGGTGTCGAATTAGCCTTGCAGGGTATCGAATTGACCTACTCGGGGTGTCAAATTGGCCTGGCAGGGACATTCGGACCAGAGGGTTGCAAAAACGGTCTAATCCCCCAATCCCGGGGGGTGGTAGTGGTCAGCCATCCCCCCATCCTGGCTGGGGTGGCCGACTCCCATCTCCCATCTTAGGGGCCCGGTGCTAATCCCATCCCTTGAGACAGGTTTCCCATCCTGCCAGCCTGGGTCCCATCCCCAATCCTATGGCCAGGGTTTCCAATCCCATCCTGCAGCTGTGTTCCCCCAATCCTCATCCTGCCAGCCAGGGTCCCTTCCCAATCCCTTCGACCAGGGCCATCCCCATCCTGCAGCTGTGTTCAGATCCGAAAGCTGTCAGCCAGGGTCCCATCCCCATCCCTTGCCAGCTACAAACCTACTCCTTACGTTTACACAGGTGCTGTAATATCGGCTTTCTCTTTAGGCGTAAATCAGGGGAATGACCAGGGTTATTTTCTATTTCCGCGAGATATTTTTCTCTTGCTCTATGGCTTATTTCCTCTAGCGTCAAATTCCGCCCGGCTGTGTTCGTTCCGAAGCAGACTGAAGCGACAAACGCTCGTTGAAGCGGATCTCGACTGAGGAAGAACTCGCATCACAGAGGTCTACGTATCTAATTGCACACTGGCTGCTATTGCAAATCGCGCGTCCTAAGGGGGGAAGGACTGTTATGTTCGAAGGACGGCCACAGCAACAAATTATAATGCTGTGGTTAGAATGGCAGAACGTACAAGGGTGTTCTGTCAAAATGTCCATGGCTGGGAACGTGCACCATTGGTTCAGGTTCATAGCGCAGGAGTTCAGCTGCACATTCCGGCGCCAACATTCCACGTTGGGTGCGCCAAAGCGCTACGATAAACAACCTGATAACATTACATCAAGCCAGACAGTCCAATTGGAATGCTTTTGAGTCGACTTGGACTTCTGCGCAAGAATTGCTCCTATGCACTATAATGTGCAGAGTTACGTGGAGTTGTGCCACAACAAAACAAAACAATAAAGACTGCAAACTTTCTCAGAGTTGTGCATACTGGCTTGGGAATGCGGTGCGGCATGATGCGGCCAGCATTTTCGCGCCTTGCAACCTCAGCTCAGTTTGCATGAACATAACCAATAAAACATCACAGTACTAGAGAAGCAGTTTGTAGGAGGAAGTAACATGAAAGCTTAACAACTAACTCCAGGGTGGGCCTCACTTTGAGCCAGGACCCCCAAAGCGGCTTGCTGTTGATAACGTTTTGTTGGCTTAGATGCGACGGAGCGAAGCGACCGGATCTTCTAAGGCTGGTTCTGTGGTGCTGTCGTACAACTGTGTCGCAGTGGCGACTTCATTCTTGCTGCTCTCCTGGTGAAGTCATTATGCCTTCACGCAGAAGAGCATACAGCCTTGTCCAACTAGTCAGCGTGACAGGCTGTACTTGGACCCCCAAACCGGCTTGCTGTTGATAACGTCTTGCATGTTGATACGCCTCCTGCGGACTTGTCCCCCAGTAGGGTCTGCAGATTGCATACAGATTACGTTCGGGTCTTATTCAAAGTGTCCCAAACTTCGTCTTGGAAGACGCCCACCTTCTTAAGCGCAAGCTAGTAACAGCCCGACGACCGTTTGTTATCTCTTCCAGAATGGCATCCGATGGTGCCCTGGGTGTGGATGTGCATGGGCCGGACAAGGTAAGAACGGGGTTGGACTGCGTCTGACTGAAGAACTGGCACCAATGGTGCACGTTTCTCACATTTACACCAAGTCGCGTTCCATGCCTGTTCTATTCCCAATGGTT